TAAACTGAGAATAGGGGTGGAAGGTCCATATTTTTTATCTTCCACTCCTATTCTTAGTTTGATTGTCTTTCTTACTATTGTAAAAACAAAATACTGTACTCATTTACTGTATACGAATGGTGGTTCCTTAGGGTAATATTATACAGTACAGTGCACCAAATTTATACAGTATTTTAATTAATGTTAGGTATAGTATTTAATTACAGTAGTTAAGTGATAAATTACACAGTACAGTAGTAGACAGGTATTGTACTAATTTTGAGTAATTACAGTAGGTAATTTTTTGTTGTTTGCGAACCGATTACAATTTTTAGGTACGATAGCTATAATATTGGAGTTTTCTTGTCATTGGGGAACCGAACCCTATTTTCCAATGTATTACTTTATTTGCTACACAAATACTGTATTCACTATAAGAACGTTTTTTAAGGACCCTAACCCATTCGTATAGTGAGGGATATATTTACAGATAAGGTTATGAAATTCTTGCATTTACTACTTCAGCTTCAGTTTGATATATTTACTATGACAAGTAAGCAATACAATAGACAGGACACTACTGTACATCATTTTAAATGTGCACGTACAGTACGGTGCACAATTCATAAAATAGTACTGTACCGGTGCATATGAACATCTGAAATAATACTGTACATATGTCACGCCAGGAGTTTTGCACCCAACAGGGCAATGATGAACTTATTCCTCAGTTAACACATTCTTGGGACACATAACGACTGTTCTGTCATGCATAGAAGCCCGAAACACTACCAAGCTGGCAGACAAAAAATTTTACCAAGGTACCAATACTGTAATTCAATATCACGTGCTATAACCGGGCTCTAATTACACAACAGATATCAATATTAGGTAATAATACCTGTACAGTAAATGATGACCACAGTGCACCCCCTAGCACCAACTTTAAAAAATTTCTCCATAGAAGATAAATCATTCTTACCTCTTGAAAATTACAAAAAAATGTATGGGAGCTATGTTTTGCATAACATCACTTTAATTATATTTTATGCCATGAATCATATGCAGAGACAACAATGATGCATCCATCATACATGTTCAAATGTAGTACATGTACTGTAGTATCTGCTACTGTGGTAATGTTCATTAGCAGTTAAGTGCAAATGTATAAAGTACTGTACAATATAACTCTTCAAAGGTTTCTTAAAAAAAATAATAATAAAATAGAACACCTAATTGTAGTATTTTAGGTAAAGACTTAATAGGTCACTTTGGTTCATTTTATGAATGAAAAATTTTAGAATGTAGCCATATCTGCTACTTTTGGAGTTTAGTGCTGATGTAACATTCTGAAAATACGAGATACTGTAGTATTACTATAGTATATTTTATATATAATGTGTTTAAAAAATATCCTAAAATATTAGTTGTCTTTTATTTTAATATTCTAAAATAAAAATAAATAATTAAATCCCTTTTAAAAGCTCAAACAAGAAACCAACATGGTGGACATGTGGAAACTTGCCACCCAGAGATATGCTATATGTATTCCCCATGCACTTTGTGTCATTTCTGCAAATTAAGTAAGCTTTTATCTTCAATGGAGAAAATTCCTCAATTACTGGTATACTGTATAATAATAATAATAAACAGTTTATTAATAGAGTTGTAGCCGGTGGCTGAAAACATACAAACTTACATGTGATTTAGACATAATGATATGCGTTCAATACATTTACAGGGCTGTGCAGTACATAAATCAGGAGTTGTTTATTATTTTAACAATAGATGGGATGGTGCTATTCTTATATCTATCAGTGCGGGCTCTTATGGGATGAATTTTGTTGTAGTGGCGGACTGCGAGGTGAGCGGGGGACTGCCGGTGGCAGGAGGCGGCGATGACGAGGATAGTGTAGTAGTCCACTGCCAAACCTTGCTAGTGCTTGGTGGTGGAGGTCATTGAGGGATGGCATTTCCAGGGTGGAGAGAGCGTTGTTGCAACCGGAGTAGTCTGCACCGAGCATGATTCTGCAGGCCCTTTTCTGTACCTTCTCTAGCTGACGTTGTTGGGTAGAGTTGAGAGAAGACGACCAGGCTGGTGACGCATACGTTAATTTGGGGAGAGTAAAGGAGTTGTAGATAGTCCTCAGTTCTGGTATGGATGCCCCAAGTGACCTAAGTCGTCGTAGCATGTAGAGTCGGTACGAGGCTGCCTTGATTGTGTTGTTTACATGGGCCTTCCAGTCCAGTTTGTGGTCTATGGTAACACCCCAGGAGTTTGGCAGACTGCACTAACCGGAGAGGATGGGCACCCACTGTGACTGCTGGAGCTTGCACTGGAGTGGTGGCGATATTGATGTGCATGACTACGGGTATACCACGGTCATCAGTATTACCCAATATTTTTTTGTAGACACTGCATACCCAGTACATATAGTAGATTGTACTGTAAGGTATATGGCAGAGCTTGTGTAACAGAGTATCCCAGCTATTTAATGTAAGAGCTTGCAACCTAAGCTAACCCAATACAGTACATTGTACTATTGTCCCTCATTTAGCAGTAATTTCACTTGTATGTAAGATTTTTCAGGAATGCAACCCAATCGTTAAATGAGGGATACCTGTATAGGAAAATCCTGTTTTTTAGGACTGGGGGAAAAGATCTATTAATTTGTTTTTTCTTATAACCAAACTTCTTTATTAGGGATACTGTATTAAGCTGTGCAAGTTCTTACTTTGAATAGCTGGGGCACCCTATTATGCAAACATTCCGATTATACACACACAGTGACATCCCATTAGCCGAAATAATTTGAGCAGAGCTGTTCCAGGAATGCGAGATTTCCGGGTACGAATATGAATTTTCTCTTCCCGGGAATTTTTCCAGGTACTACTGGGAAAACTTTTTTGAGTTTTAACTATGCATCTTGCATGGACAGAAACAGAGTTGTATTTTTTTTTTTACACAAACACCACTGTACATGTGCAATATAACGTAAAAAAAATTACATAAATAAACCACTGTATACGTACATTTAAAACAGTACATTACTGCACTCACCAGCAGACGCTGTCGGCTTGTGATGCAGGCAGGCCAAATGGTAATACAGCACAGTACTGTATGATGATACAGGATGGCCTGCCTTTGTCTTGTACCATCTACTGTAGCAGGTGTTACTGTCAATCTCCACTCCCTCCATGAAGAATGGATTGTACATGTATTGTGTACTTTACATAGGTAATGGTTGCCCCTCGTGTACGAGGATAGCCGGCCCTAGGGCCACCTAGGAGTGAATACCAGTATATAATGTGTGCCTAAATTAATTACTAGGAAATTTGCTGCTGTTTTACTCTTCTGATGTAAAATCTTATCAAATAACAAATACTAGCAGTACAGCTACTTACTTCAATTTTTTTTTTTTACGGGGATTAGCCCACCAGGGCACAGGTCACTGACCCACATCGGGGCCTGGGGGGGGCGAAAATGTAGTAGTAGTAGTAGTAGTAGTAGTAGTAGTAGTAGTAGTAGAAAAAAAAGTAGTAGTAGTAGTAATAATTATAATAATAATTCATAGTAAATAACTTTTATAATAAAAAATAAAAATTTGAAAATAAAATAAATTAATAATGATGAGAATAATAATAATAATAAATAAAAAAAATAAAAAAAAAAGATAAAAAATGAGAAACAATAAATGTATGTTGTGTTGTCAATAGTAAATGAAACAATTGAGACCCTGCAATTGTGTGTAAATGAGGCAGAAAGTCAGATCAGCAACCTGGGACTTGGTCACAATTTTCGTGGTGCCATATGGTAACAGGGTCTACCATTAGACAATACATTATGCTTCCAATATCTTCCCAGGAGGTAGTATCTCCTTACAGACTTAATGGCGTAACTGTGCCCCAACTTTACAGTATACGGTACTACTCTGTTTAGGTCCCACACTGCAAACTGACCTTAATTTTCCCCATTCCCCCAAAATTGGACATGAAGAATGTGGGCACCACTAAACAAGCACATGCATATCTTTAATTATATTTATAGAATAGCTATGAGAATATCCTTGACATTATTAGATCCAAAATTGGAAATGTGAAGAAAATTTCTGATTTAATTAAGGAAACTACAAGTAGACCATGGTGACAGGCTGTTGATGGCTTTTGTTAGTTTGCATAATCAGCAAAGGACACGTCCTACTTAACATTATTCAAGTTCTGAAACTAATTCCATAATTTCATGTGGTTTTAACTAAAAGTTGCTTTTTTGTGTGATGTCCATATCAGTCACCAAAATTTTCCAATAAAAGTCAAATTACTTAAAATGATTAAATATAAAAAATTCGAAACATCTGATATAAACACCTGTATAAACATACAGTATATACTCGATACCTCTCAACTTTAACAGTATACGTACAATAAACTTGAAAGGTGAAAAATAGTTATTTCCAAAATACCTATGGCCTAACAGTATTTTTGGGAAGTCATGAAATAGGAAATGAACAATAAATTTGTTTGACCTTAACTTTCTTTATCCACACTGAAATTATAGAAATTTGTCACACTCAAAATTGCACACACAAGCAAGAAATAAGTGAGGCTTCTGTTGGTTTACTGTAATTTGTTTTCTCATTTCAGGAAGACCCACAAAAACTCAACTTCGCTTAAACAAGAAAAACACCATGAAAAAAATATGTACTGTACCAAGTGTCATTATTAAATCAACACATGAAATACATAACATTTAACTACAGGAAAATAAATAATATTACACAATAATCCACCTCCAACGAACAACCAGGAACTTCCTTCCATTCATTTATTGATTGTAAACTCCAGACACACCTAAACATATTTGTATTTGAACTTCTAAGACATAACACTGTTTTTGCGTCCTGGACTTCTATTTATATCATAACGAAGATAAAATCAGTATCTGGATCAATTGTATTATTAATTAATTACGAGTTCAGACACTCCTTAGTCGCAGTCACAAATGTCTTACGAGTTTTACTTACAATTTTTCGACCCAGCTGGGCAGATCGGCTGGCACTTGAGTGATGCCAATCCTGGAACAGTCGACAATGGCTCCCAGGCAGGAACACACAGTAGGACAACTAGCAGTACACAGCTGGCACAGCACAACTTGGAGGACCACAGTCGTCAACCAAAACAATCCCCTCTCCGCCGCCATCTTCCCAAGGACAAGACTAATACTATGCCTTAAATCATGTAATATTTGGCATAATTGGACCGTCTATTCACTCTGGTTTGTTCCTCTTTCAATAATATTATTGGTGTGTAAGAATATTTTAGCAGTACTGTTTAGTCACAGCATTATCCTAATAACTACACTGGTGTTACGGAGCGAGAGGCAACACATCCACACCCACCCATGCCATTTCACAAACTGAGCCAATGGGCACCGAGAACACGGTTTTCATTGGTTTGCTGCTTCTTTCAGACTCTCACTCATTGGCTCGCAGTTTATGAGATCTAATGCCTGATTGGCTAGATTGCAGTTAATTATCTTCCTTGCATGGTAGTGATTTAGAAATCGCTAACATCGTGTCTGCAACTTATGTTTGCCTGCAATAGAGGTAATTGAGGCGAAGTTTCCTAATTTTAATACATGACTAGTTAGTTCAATATGATTATCCAACAACTTTGGCATTCCTCTCACCTGATTCTCAAAAATTCATGCAAAGAATATAAACTCATATGGCTAATGAAGGCCTATAATTCTTATGATATATATATATATATATATATATATATATATATATATATATATATATATATATATATATATATATATATATATATATATATATATATATATATATGTGTGTGTGTGTGTGTGTGTGTGTGTGTGGATGCTGCTATTGTGGCAAATCTCAAGTTAACTGCCAATCGTCAGTTACAATGAATATTCACGTACGAACTTTTGTACTAGCTAAATGGAAGTCATCATTTTCTCAAGAGAGGATAATTTAGAAGTTACATCACTCAAAAAAATGTCACTCTAAAAGTCTAAAGAGTTCAGGGTCATATCAGAGTTTAATTAAGTTGGTACGATGTGATCATGTGATGTGTGTAAAGAAATTTTTATCGTGAGAATTGCCGAAAAATCAGTAGTATGTCCATTTTGAATCAGAATTTAAACAAATGACTAATTCGGTTGCCTTGGATAGTATTTTTCACAACAGATCTGAATTTGCATACACGATAAACATCCTTATTGCATGCACACACACACACACACCATGTACAGCATTATATCAACTGTGAGTCCTAATGATCCCTGAAAATGTGTCAGAGGTAGTCAGTTCATCTTGTTCTCTGGGATTTATTTATAGAAACGAATCTTCCAAACTTCTTAATTTCAGTGTTTTGTGTTAAAGATAACTTTCTTTCACAAATAGTAATTGTAGTTGACAAAAATTTACTTTACGAGAGATCTTGTAACCGTACAGTTTGGGAGACGAAATGTTGCAGTTGTTAATGTTCCACATTTCGATGTTATTCTTATTTAAGTTAAAATAAGAGCAAAATGTATATTCATGCCATCATACATACACAGTAATCAATATGCAAATGACCAATAAGAGGATACCATGCGCCTCTGTAGCGTCTCAAATGATGGGTCATGCAGAGTATTGATCAATAAAATCCAACTCACGCATCGATACTTGATACAGGTGTGTCTGTGGCCAAGTTATGATCGAGGTTTATATAAATTTTGACAAATATTAAGTCTACAGTTGTCAACCCGAAGCACGATACTGAATTGAGAAATAAATATACACTACAGTGGGACATTCCTAAACAATATTGATCGCAGGCTGTTGTCCTGGCCGAGTATGTGTGTTCGGAACTTCGGTTCTCCAAGAAAACGGCACTTTTCGTTGTGTTAATGCTGCCGTAAACTGCATGAAAATAAAATTAGTAAGACATTCTAACAGCAACAAATATGACAGGGTACAGTATCAGGCACTGAATACTGTAATTCACGTATTCATGGAAGAAGTAGAAGCAGTTAGCTGTCAATGGGGTGAGGCCGCAGCGAAGTCTAAAGGGACGACAGGAATAAAATGACAAGGAAACACTCCCATCTTTTTTTTTTTTTACGGATATTTTGATTCTTGATAACAGACAAGAATTTTTAGAACTGTGTAACGCAATATCATAAATTTATTCAAGAGTACCAATTCACATTCAGATCCAGTGGCTGCCTGTGGGAGTTGAGCGTTATCTCGTTGTTATGGCAACGGGCGTCCTAGTGGAGGCGTTTTCAGCTACTGTAGTACAGTATTTCAGGTTAACCAAATTAGTTTATACACTCTGTATATGTATTTTTGGACCAAATAAATTTTTAAATATCAATATCAATACAAGCAGTGTATATGCTGTCACTTCACTTTTCAAAATCATAAACCTAGGAACGGACACTATGCACTATAAAAGCTTTGTTTAACATAACCCAGGTGCAACTAGCTATTCAAGCCTTAGCTAACACAGGTACACCCAAGGATTAGACCTTGGTTACAGGGGTGTATTTTTTTTTTTTTTTTAGTCCTTGGGTACACCAGGTATAAGATAATCTGCATGGCTATCTTGTCTGGTGGTAGTTTCACCAATGACACACATTACAGGATTGCTTTATTGGGTGTGTGCACTTTCCCTTTAAGAATTTAGCATTGTCATACTTTACTGTTGTAAGCTTGTGGCATACTGTATGTGGCCAGTTGTCAAGTTCTCTTTGTATGGGCTCACATACGTATGTACATGTAAGATATCTCACACTCAGGATGGAGGTAAGAATAGAAACACACAATGTGTTTTCTGTATACTGTATATATATTGTATGTACAGTGCAGTGCTAAGGAATTGCTGTGTGGTGAGAAGGTTGCTCAGAGGTCCTGTTGGGTGAGGAGCTTGTTTGGAGGTCTTGCTGGTTCTGGAGAGTAGAGTAGAATGAATTCCGCAGCCAGGCCTACACGTATTTATACGGTTGGTCAGGATCAGGGAAGTGAGGTGTGCAGTGTGCGGGGCCAATCACCGTGCAGTTCGTGAGAGGCCTGGTGTGCTGAACTCGTCGCTGCTTGGGAAGGTCAGAAATCAGTGAGCAGTAGTACCCCTACGTCCACACCTGAGACCTAGTCTTGATGGAGCTGGGCCATGGCACCTTTCCCTCCTTCTAAATTTCACTTCAATCCTCCCTTTATCCTTCCCCTGAACCTCCTTCCCCCCCATCACTAGCATTTAAGTCAAGTCAAAGGCTTCTACTACCTGTAAGCTGATTGGCTGGTAAGCGAACTGCAGGTGATCAGTTAGCAGTTGTAGGGGAAGAGTATCCACTACAATACTCCCCCTCCTCTCCGGACGCAGCAGGAGACTTGTTGTCGGCAGGGTTGTATCCCACAAGTGAGACATACCGGGCTGGTGTGTGGATGAGTCGGCCGCTACGGGAGACAACTCTGTCTAGAGACACGAGATCTGTGGGAGAAGCAGAGGGAGAAGGAGGGTTGTGGATAAGAGAAGGTTGTGCTGGCGAGGAATGTGGTACTTTTCTCGCGGCAGGTGCAGGGGTGCCGGGTGGGGTATCTGGATCATTAGGGCCGGATGCAGGACCCTCATCAGGAGCAGGGTCCACGTCAGGAGCAGTAGGTACCTGAGGATGAAAAGAGGGTCCCCAGAAATGTTGTTGGCGAGGTGGTGCTGTAAGCGGCAATGGTGGGCAGACTGGCAGAGGAGGTGCGGGATGAATGTGTTCAAATGCGGTGGGAAGGCTGGCGTGGGACAGTAGCCTTGAATGCAGAAACTGCCTGACATAGTGTTTGTAATAGATCGTGACGGGCAGTAGGAGTGAAGTGGTCAAGGATCTAAGGCATGTGATGTGCTGCTTGATAGTGTTGGAGGTTATGGTGCCTACCAGTCTCCGTCGATGTCGCTTCATCGTGTGGTTGCAGGGAGCCTCACAGCGCCTAGCGTTAGCATCAAAATGTTGATGGTACCAACAGGAGGTAGGTACACTGTGCTGGGGGCTGGCGGCGGCAGCGTCTGAGGCAGGACGGGTGTTGGGGTCGGTAGGACGTATTGTGTGGGGCAGGAACAGGAGCAGCTGCAGGCTTGGAGGAGCAGAGCTGCTCTAGGGTGTCCAACCTGCAGTGTAGGGACAGTAGCAGGTCCCTCATGTCTTGTGAGGTGTTGGTTGTCTGGGGAACGCTGATCTGGTTGACGAGACCAGAGGAAAGTGAAAAAGTGTGGCCACTGAGTTGTGCGCGGAAGCATGGCGCACAGCAGTGTATTCTTGGAATACTCTGTCTGCCGTGGCTGCATAGGTCGCCGAGGTAGTAGAATAGTCCAATACTGAGAGGACAAGACGAACTCCTGCAGGGAGCTTCTGAGTGTGAAGCTGGCGCAGGATAGTGTCAGGAAGCCTGTATGTGTGGCGGGAGTTCAGTCTCCGCATCTTGTCCCAGAGACGTGCAGGGGTGGAGTTGCTGAGGGAGAGACAGGTTAGGTCTTGCAGGAGACTGGTGTCAGGCTGCTGGTATCGCCTCTTGAGAGCATCACGTAGAGCTACGAATTTGTTTGTCAGCTGGAGGGTTGGTGATGGCTTCTGAGACTTGTGTGGCAACTTCTGTAGGCAGGGAACAGATCAGGGCGACGTATTTCTGTTCGTCTGTAACTGTAGAGCCGATGAGAGCTGCCTCCATGCGGATAAGTCAGCCTTCAATGTTGTGACTGAAGACTGGGAGAGTGATGTGTTGCTCATCCATTCTTGCGAGAGTGCGTCACACCTGTTGGGTAAGGATGAGGGATGGGTGCTTGCTCCGACCCCCTTTCGTGTTCACAATCTCCTGGAAGGGAAGTGAACAGTTACAGGGAGGACCGCAGGTCGAATACACTTTTGAGGGTGCAGGTCCCTAGGCCAGAGTGAAAAAAGAAGAAAAGGAGCTCAAACCACGTCTGGAATATCGCGCTACAGCTGCTCTCCGGCTGTGATGTGAAGTCACTCACACCACCAGTGGGGAGAGCAAACTAATGTGCGATAAACCTAACGGTCATGAGATGTTGTAGTGGCGGGTGGTCTAATCAGGTCAGGTGGCCAACAACGGCAGCAGTGTGTGGGCGGTCCTCACAGCTCCAGGGGTATGGCTGCAGAGAAAGCGTGGTGTTCACAGCTCCAGGGGTACGGTAGCAGAAAGCGTGGTGTTCACAGTTCCAGGGGTCACCAATTGTAGCGTGCTGTACTCCAGGGTTCACCAATTGTGGCGTACTGTTTGTGGCCAGTTGTCAAGTTCTCTTTGTATGGGCTCACATATGTACGTACATTTAAGATATCTCACACTCAGGATGGAGGTAAGAATAGAAACACACAATGTGTTTTCTGTATACTGTATATATATTGTATGTACAGTGCAGTGCTAAGGAATTGCTGTGTGGTGAGAAGGTTGCTCAGAGGTCCTGTTGGGTGAGGAGCTTGCAGAGGGAGCTGGTTGGTGAGGAGCTTGTTTGGAGGTCTTGCTGGTTCCGGAGAGTAGAGTAGAATGAATTCCGCAGCCAGGCCTACGCGTATTTATACGGTTGGTCAGGATCAGGGAAGTGAGGTGTGAAGTGTGCGGGGCCAATCACCGTGCAATTCGCGAGAGAGGCTTGGTGTGCTGAACTCGTCGCTGCTTGGGAAGGTCAGAAATCAGTGAGCAGTAGTACCCCTACGTCCGCACCTGAGACCTAGTCTTGATGTAGCTGGGGCTTCTACTACCTGTAAGCTGATTGGCTGGTAAGCGAACGGCAGGTGATCAGTCGGCAGTTGTAGGGGAGAGTATCCACTACAAGCTCACAACACTGACATACTTTACTGCCATAAGCTCTCACACAACACTGGCAGATTTAATGTCATAAGTTCACAACATTGGCATAGTGTATTTTATTATCATAACCTCACAACACTTAGGGTTACCACATTTGACCTTATGAAAATATGGACACTCCAGGGAGGGGAATGTATATCATCAATATTTACCAACTCAAGGTGTATCATTGTGATATTTACTCTAGTATGTATGTGTATATATATATACTGTATACAGTATATATATATATATATATATATATATATATATATATATATATATATATATATATATATATATATATATATATATATAACACATAATACGTGAGCATGCAACGGATAACAGTGGGTACACTGAATCATACAGTATTTAATGTATTAAGGTACATAAGAATATATATATATATATATATATATATATATATATATATATATATATATATATATATATATATGTAAACGAAGGATTTATCATATATATTTTCATTGTGGGATTCATATATATATATATATATATATATATATATATATATATATATATATATATATATATATATATATATATATATATATATATATATATATATATATATATATATATATATATAATTGGTTGACAATCCTTATCGAAATTCCAAAACCAAAGTTTTTAGTGGAGATTTTTTTTTAAACGGATTCGCCCACCCGGGCACAGGTCACTGACCCACATTGGGGCCTGGGGGGGGAGAAAATGTATTAGTAGTAATGATAATAATAATCATTCATAGTAAATAAAATTCACAATAAAAAATAAAATAATTCAAATAATAACAATAAAAATAATAATAAAGAAATACTGTACAGGAATGAAAAAAAGATCGAAAGTGAGAAGCACGACCTATGAATTATTATTATTACTATATTTTTGCCCCCTAGGCCCTGATGTGGGTCTGTGACCTGTGCCCAGGTGGGCTAATCCGTATATATATATATATATATATATATATATATATATATATATATATATATATATATATATATATATATATATATATATATATATATATATAAACCTTTCTGAAATCCGAATAACATCTGACCCCAGTCGGACTGAGATTTAAGGGTCGGAAAGGAATACGTCTGAGAAAAACCATACTTTAGTCATAAGCTCACTACACAGGTCGGGTATTGTACAGGATACTGTACTGTTATACTTTAGTCATAAGCTCACTACACTGGCAGGCTTTGCTGTCATAAGCTCACAACATTGGTAAACTTTACTGTCACAGTTTAGTCATAAGCTTTCAACACTGGCAGGATTTACTGTTATAAGCTCACAACACTGGCACAATTTGCAGTCCTAAACTCATATCACTGCTATTCTTTTGCCATAAGTTCACAATACAACATACCACCATATTTTAAGTCATCACCTCAAAACACTAGCATTCTACTTTATGACGCTGATATTGATGTGCCTTAAGCTAAAAACCTGGCATACTTAGCAGTATCATAGCTTACAACACTGGCATTCTGGCATACTTTGGAGAAAAAATATTGTAGATGGGAAATATGAGTGAGTTTTTCATACATACAACTGTTTATATAAGGTCAAGGTAAGTACAGTACTGTACTTAAGTTTAATATCCTGTTATTTTGTAAATGAAACAATTATCAAGGTTAATAGAAGTGTATTTATTACATGAGTTTACTAAGTCTTATAAAAGTCTCAAAACAAAAATAATAGTACGTACGGTACAGTAAATATATTAATTAAAATTATAAAAACGTCTCAAAAACTTCACACATAAGTACCCTGTACTGTATTATACGGTATGTGAAGCAACAGCAAAATTACACACAGGTCAACAGCAATACTGTATGTGTCTGACATCTGGTTTTTTTTTTTAAGAATGTTTTAATAACGTGTTAAAGCAAACTTTTGTCATATATTCATGAAAATACACTAGTGTACCATAAGCAAATACAGTAAGTTTATTAACATTTGACCCCAAAATTGTACAGTGAGTACTGTACAGTATTTTCTAATATACTGTACCTGTACAGTGCTCCTGTTCTTCATGTATCTTACAATTGCATTTCTTCTAATGAATCGATAGAAATTTTTCATTAACAACTGTTTGAAAGTAAAAATCTTGACAAAAACGAAGGATCTATCTGTATGCTGATAACATAGGGTCACTGTATACTGTTCTGGAAATACAGGTGTATATTTTTTGAAGACATCAAATATTTAATTAACAAGGTTTTAGAAATATCTTATTCTCGCATGGCATTAACTCATGCCATGGAAATGAATAAGTAGGTATCATGCATTTTCACATAATTTGTTTAATACAATATTTGTCAGTCAGTACACTTCACTGTGCATTTTCCAGGAGATGGGGCGAAACTTCTCAGAGACTGTTGATACAAAGAAAGCCTCACACATTTCTTCTTATGATCACTACTAGTGCAATATACCCAGTGTGTAAGTTATTTCCAGTAAAACTGCCTAAATTGAAGTTCTCATTGACTGATTCTTGCCAAAGAAAATACACCAAGGTCCCACTGAACAAGTAACCGATGAATGAAAATTTGGTTGAACGAACTTAGCGTTTAAGGATATGAAAATTCAGTGAATGAACTTCCTTTTATCAAGCAAAATTACGAGTGAACCAGCTCACATTATCAGTCATGGAGTGGGGGCTATCCATGCTTTGTCATTGAGTAGCCAGCTGGGCTAGTGCACTTGTAAACTCATTTTCCATACTGTAGTGTACTTTGAAATAAAGTCAGTGGCTGGCTAGCCAGGCATTTATTTTCCAGGTGCCAACCTGTATTACCCATGCATTTGTGCTGTTCACAGCATTCTTTCATCACTCAGAAAGCATTATGGATTCTAACCAGATACATTGGCCTTAAAATGTCTCAAAACAAACACAAAAATGACGGTACTGAGTGCAGTAGTGCAAAAAGAAAACAAAGTACTTAGAATTAAAAAAAAAAAAAAGTGGAAACTCTCCCAAACTTTGATAAGGGTCAGACAGCAAGTAAACTTCTGTGCCCAGTATGGTGTTGGAGCCACAAAAATTTATGACTTAAAGAAGAAATATGACGAATTACTCAAGTTTTCAACACCAGCTCCAATAAAGAATAAATACTGTACTGTTACACTTTTTTCCTATATAAATCTTATGAGTAAATATGAAAAAAATTGGGCTACCTGAGTGTTTAGTGACCTGACTGTCAGTGCTTGGTGGAGTGGATGACTAATTTTTTACATTGGTTAACACTCACAGGGTGATTGTAATTACAACACTTGAGTATTGAGATAAGACTAAAAATTCATTAAATTTAATTACCCATAAACAGCTATAGTCATCATATTATATGTGGTAAACTGCAGATCACAAAAAAACGCTTTCAAGTTTGGTGCCACCGTTTAATCATCACACCCACAATGCACTGTGATTTAGGCAGATACTGCTAGCTCCACGTTTCCTCGCCAATAAATATTATAATTTTGTTAGGAATGTCCTGATAATTTTTTTATTTTATAGTAAATAGTTTTTGGTTCTTGTCAGTGTGCTTCTACTTTTAGATGCTCCCAACTACACAGATGATATACAGTACGTACTGTACTGTATTGCCATAAATAGTGGCATTCATGTGTGTGTGTGTGTGTGAGAACCACACCAGTGATTGATTGCAGGCCAATCTGTCAAAATGAAAATTTATGAATTTCATCAATTTAAATATACAGTACAGTAAATGGTTTCATAGAGTAGATATATGGAGTTTGCAAAATTATCAATTTCTGAGTCTTAGTACTAAACATTTCAGATTCCTGGCACTCAAATGTACTAAAACAATGTTCATTCTTATTCTTTGGGCTGGAATGCATCAAAAGTTTATTCCATGGGGTTTTGAGTTGAAATTTTTGGGCTGGAACACACACCAGCTTTTTTTCCTATAGGAAAATGGATATCACTGAGCAAGTAGTAATCTAATGAGCACCTTTTCAAGAACATACAGTATATCACTCATTAAGTGGGACCTTACTGTATCAACCTTTCATTTCTATGCAAAGACAGAACAAAACCCAGCCCATTGAATGAAAATTTTTTTTTATTCTAATTAATTAAATATTTTCACTCATTAGGCTGGATAGATCACATGACAGGTAGCCTAAAATTATAAAAAAATACTTAACTTGTAAAAATTTCCAATACAGGTAGTTAATAAAAGTGGAGTATTTCTTTAACTTAACTGTAGATGCAGCACCATGAAAGGGAACTATACAATACAGAATAAAGGTACTGTACAGTATTTCCATTTACGTTTTTACTGGTAATTTAACATTACAATATAAGAAATTACAGGATGTAAATCCTGAATGCAAAATGTATGGCACAAATTTGTGAGAAGTCCTAACTGTGGTTTCTTGGCTATAATACGTGTAATATCACAATTGGTTTCTGAGCAGTAAGCAAATGCTCTTGAAAATATTAACACAAAAAAATTATAATAATTTCTCCATTATACAGCTGATAATCAAAATGCTGGACAGTACTTACACAGAAAAACACAGAGGGTAAGAAGGTAACAGTTCCTATGAATTTCATGAATTCTATAGTTTTTAAACAAGAAATTACCTGGTAGACTTATTCAAAATGATTATCAAATCATTATTAAAAGGATATGCCAAATTAAACATACCCATCCATGTACTGTACAAGGAAACTTGACGGTCAAGAAAAATGTCAGCCTGAGGTGGATTCTCATAATGAAACGAAGAAAACGAATCCGCTTTTAAACCTTTTATGGCGATTGCTTGAAATTTTTGGACGACTGCTCAGAAGACGGATTTTTGGAATTGTTAAAAAATCTAAAAGTATTTGAAGGTTCTAACCCATTTCTGGCTTTGTCAAAATACATGTTTCAAAAAGTTATCTTGGGGCAACAATCAGCCCTTTTTTTATTCTTCATTCTACTGTACTTAGTTGGATTTTTTAGCAGCTATTCTGTACTCATTTAATGGAGAAAATCTTTTTGGCGAGAGAGAAAACAAGCGTAAGAAAAGATAATGAAGATAATCTTCAGCATAATTCTGATGATCGATTATAATTACTGGTACATGTACTCACTTATGGTACTGTACTTGTTTATATTTTCAAATGTGCAACCTCTCTTAGCCTCAGCATTGCTAGGCTGGCTAGGAACCCAAATAATCAAGCCAAATCGTTTAAAATACAACAATTGTGGGAACTGTCCTTAAAGGGTCAACATTATATGGATTGACAAATTAACAGATTTATATGAACATTATGCGCTATTATTTCCTGAATTTATAAAAGTCATTAAACTTATGGCTGCTCCAGGACACTGTACACTACTGTACTTGTCTACAAAATATATTTACTTCATAAATATGCAAATAAGTTTGACAGCATTACAACAGAGATTTTCTGACAAGTTCTGTAGATGTGATCCACACAACCATGCCCTTCCACAAATCCTACATTTCTTAAGTTGTCACTGGATTCTTCATTAACCCTTTCAGCCAGCACTGCACTTCCTTTAAGCTGTACAATATTCAATTTTCTTTGTTACACCTTTTCCTAAGAAAACAAAATGGTATGGTATAATCATAAAATCCATTTTATATTCTGGTTCTGTACATTACACTTTACATATTGCAACTTGCTTTCCAGTTTAGATACACAGTTAATCAGCAATAAATAAAAAAAATTACATTATGGTTTTCTGGAATCACACTAAATATGAATCATAATTTATTCAATACTTTATTATATAATTGTATAACATGAGAATACAATACTCGTACACAAAATGTATGACAAATTTCTAGGTCAGCACCATGGAAAATTAAAAGAATGAATGTAACCCCTTTGGTGCCAAACACCTTCTGTTCACCAAGATAACAAACTGGTATTTCCTCAAGTGTTATTTCTGCCACATATTAGGATACACCATACTACCTATGGGGACTTAAAATTAATTGTAAATAAATATATTGTAAACTCTTTGTGCTGTTTCTTTTGCAATAAAAATGGTATTCATTCCCACGTAAGCCTGGTAATGGAAAGGTACAAACATAAAACTACAGTTATATGAAATTATCATCACACACATTGTCCTTTAAAAATACAGTGTCTCTATATGAAATTATCATTACACATATATTCCTTTAAAAATACAGGGTACAGTACATATTTTATTACCAGAGTTAATACAGTAAAGTACTAATAGTATATGAAAATTCCCATATTAAAGTCTTGTGAACAGGTCATAGTACAATATATACCCAAAATCCTTGATGCCAAACAGGTGTACGTGTTTTATAGTAAAACACAGTATCAAATGAAACTTAGCTTGTGTTTTAATTTGTATTGTCAATCTATAAATATGAGTTAGGTACTGTACTGTGAAATTTACAGTACTGTATATTGTATATACGTACATTACTGTAATATACTAGGTACAAATACAGGTACAGTATATACCATATACAGTACAGTATAGTGAAAGTATTTCAGTAACAGTTTTAAATTTCTTAGCTAATAGAATTTCAACAATTAATACTTTAAAATGAACATAATTTTAACAATACTTTCAAACCTTTCACTGACAACAAAGAAAAACTGTACCCGTGCCATCAAATTAAAACAAGTTTTATGAATAACTCAAATTATATACATTGCTACTATAAAATTTCAAGTCTTTATGTTGATCAACACTAATTAACCACTTTTAGAAGTATCAAGCATCTATTTACCCTATATATTTCTCCATACAAAAATAATCATAACATTACCATCTCTTATACAAACTACAATTATAACTAATCTGAGTATCGGTCATGTGAATTTCAGTTTAAATAACCTTTTAAAACTGTAAAGTTTCAAGACAGTATAGGAACATACAATGCTGCAATACATGTGTGCATGTGCAAGGCATATGCATTTACATATAGGCAGTGGTCATGAGGGTAAATTGTATGCATGTGTGCACACACTAGGGTGTAAATCAAGTGCATGTAGTTACAGTATTAACTTGTAAGCAAATGTTTGTGTGTGGAAGATTATTTCCAAAGGCAATAAAATACATGGCAGTGAAAATTCATACAGATCATCTTCCAAAACTACAGCTCCAGATTAACCATAAAAATAATACACTATACTTCAACATTTGTTCAAATTAATGTACAGTTGCCAGCAAAAGTCCTCCCACAAACTTGCTACATAGGGCTGTGGAAGAACTTTTGCTGGCAACTGTACTTAGTTAATATACTGTAATTACATAATAGCTGAGGAACTTTATGAGAGAATAAATTTAGCCAGCAGGATAAACTTTTAATAAAGTGACAGAAAACTTAATGAAAGCCCCATTTTTCTCCACACCAAGAGAGATGTAGTTCCAAGATTACCTTGGGCTAATCACCAACACAATCTGAACTGTATTTTCTATCAAAAACAATGAATCATCCAGTCACTCTCATCTAAGCATGCTTTTCTAACTGCTTCCCTTCCTCCAATAGAGGTTACTCCATATGCCATTTAACTATTACAGCCCACTTTAAATCACTTCTGTATTATCTCCTTACAATCCAATTAGTCTTCATCCTTCCTACATATTTAAGTTATTTTAAGGTACAGTACTTGGTACTTCTAATCCACTCATGGACCCATACCAGATTTTTGACCACTGGTGGGTCTAGGATTGTCTCAGTCCTGCAATAGAGAATTCTGAGAAATAACTCTATGGGTATTTTTAGTGTGTGATAAATTTATGACTAAGATCTGAAGAAAACAAGAGGAAAAAGAAAGATAGACGGGGGGGGGGGATTTTAGGATGGTCTTTGAGAATAGAAGTAAGTACCCTGTACAGTAAAAAAAGTTATTGATTTTATACTTTCATTCATTGGTTAAGTATTTATACCATTCAGTATGGGAGATATACAGTGCTTTAACAAATACACACTGCTCAAAAAAGTTATTAACCTGAAGCTATTCATATCTCTATGTGGAAAAAAAAATTGGACCAAATAAAAATGAGATACACTACTAGAGAAGTTTTAGAGTAATAACATAATGAACAGTGTGGTACAGGAGGGAGCTGAATAGCATACAACCATTTCTTGTTTCATGTGGGAATTCATGACCCAAAAATTCTATTGGTAGATCTTCAGTAACATAGTCTGCCTCCATCAAAGGGTCCACTAACAAAAAAAAAATCCTAATATAATAAGTATTTATATATTGTATAAATTTGATTAAATGTAAAAGAAAAAATATGTACCCCTTCATGCAGCAAATACTGTACAAAATTTGTTAATTACGTAATGTACAGTATATGCCTGTAGCTAGCTGGCTGGCAGTGGTCCCAGCCTTCAACACACCTAGTACTTTCACTTTCTCATTCATGCTGTAGGAACTTAACACGCTCTTTGCATCTCAGTGAAGTGTAGAAGGGCCTTAACTTATTCAGAAGCTACTGTAGTGAGTATTAACAGTGAACCTGAGATATAAAGGATAAATGCAGTTTCACACATGCTAGAGAACATAAGGGAGATACTGATGCCTGCTACAGTTATCTGGAGGCATTCAAAAGGAACTTACGAACAAAATCTCATTAAATTTATTGCTTTAAAAAATTTTTACACTTGGGATTAAATAGTTATCATAATTTAAGTATTCAATATGTTTGTGTTTTTCATTGTATCACTTATAGTAGAGAAATTACATTTCCATATATGTGTTGTATATTTCAACCATAACACACAGCATCATCGGCCACATAGAGAAGTGTTCAAGTGGATGGTTTGTAGAATAAATTACATCACTGTATATAAAAATCATGTATTTGAAGACTCAATTAATTGAGGGTCTGCTGAACTAAAAGGTTTGAGAAGATATGTCCCTATATTATGGAGTTAGAAATTTTCTGTATGAGCCATCTAGTTGAGTGCAATAGGTGTATCATATAACACAGATACACGACATTCTACCTTTAAATGTCAAATTCCTTTCTTCATTAAAATACGGACTTGCACAACACCAGTCTTTAGGAAGAATTCTAAAACAACATTAAGAAGCCGAGAAAATACGAGTGATAGTTGAGTGCAATTAGATGTTACTCAGCCTAACAACTGTAGAATTGAATATATTAAACTCTCCAATAGCCACAAAAAGCAGTAGCAATACATTTTCAGGGTTAACTATGAATTTGTAGTCTAAAAAGTTTTCTTCTATTTTTGGAAATGGGACACTACAACGATAACTAAGGTCCAAATATGACAAAGAAACTACGTGATTATTATAGCCGAGGGTTAAATATGTAAAAAAAGAATAACCTGATAAAACTATGTATGTAAGTAATCTGAGGGGAATGGAAGGAGAGAAAATGGTGGAAGTTGTATTGTAGAGATATAGTAACCCACATTACCATGGAGGAAATGAGAGTATTGTGTAAAATATGTTCACCCAAATTATCCTGCAACTTTTGTTAATCTACTTTAGCTTATGCATTTAACTTGTACACCTGCACCAAATCCATCAAAATTTTCACTGTTTGAAAATATTTACTGTACTGTTCAAATAAAGGTTGATAATGACAAAACTACATCTCATGTGATTAAAAGTAAACACTATGAACAGCATGAAATCCAAAGTAAAGCTGTGGGACACTGATAATAATAATATTAAACTTGAGATAAATTCCTCCTCTGTAAAATAATTTTCACTTATTTGTTAAGAGATTCACTCAGAGGACAACTACAGTTACACCAAATAATTATCTCATATAATGAAATAGCAATACTGTGTTGTACATGGCCATGCCTTATAAAACAGGAAACATAATGAGTTTACACATAAAAGAAAGACAAGATAACACTCCATAATTCTACACTTAAAAATGATTAATCAGTGACATGATCTCTTAACAGACTCATTATCTTCTTGATATATAACACACTGATATAAACCAAAAGTTATTACTTGTTATCATCAAAGTGATGTGTACTTAAAATGTTGTGTAACAACCATTCGTCAAACAGATAGAAATACATAGCATATTTCTTAAATTCACAACACGTCTTGTATAAAGGAAGATGAAAGTATGTACGTCACTGTTAAGCTGAAGATCACTAGGCTTAGTAGTCAGGGTTGTATGCCAGCTGCTTCTCAGAGTATGATGGTGGCTGCTCACCTATGGGTTGACATAAGAATTTAATAGTGAATTTGTTCATATGCATATAGTTTCTCTAATTTATTATCAACCTACATGATTATATTGTATTCATCTTTGTGGTTTATGGATGGATGGTAATATAACAAATTAAACTAAAGTTGCCTTCAAGGATGGGGCACAAAAAGAAAATGAAGCACAAATTAAAGTGTAGTATAATATAAGTATGAATCTGATTACTTGTACTGTACATAAATATTATCAAGATATGTTTGGAGAAATAGAACAGAGTCAAAGTAAGCAAAGATGAAAATGCATAAGTGAATTATTTAGTCAAAATTATTACTGTCCTTGGATAAAAGATGAAGGTGCAAGTTACAAACAATGAAGTGAAGTGCTTGAGAGCAATGTTTATGATGAATATACTGCAGTGAATAAGAAATGAAAAAATTGAGAAATGGAAATGAAATAAGTGTCACACAGAGTTGACAAAGGTTTGCTAAACTGGTACATACATACAGTACTGTACTGTACTTAGACAATGAAAAGTGAAAAACTGATAAAATGAATGTACACTATTGTATATTTCAGAGGTGGATGAGAAGGCCAAGAAGACGGAAGGATGGGGGGTGGAAGATGCACTAGATGCGAGAGAGATGGACATCCACGAAACAGTAGGTATGTACAGTCGGGGTCAAAAGTCTTAAACACTTAGCAATATCTGGCATCTCTTTCTGAGTTATATATATATATATATATATATATATATATATATATATATATATATATATATATATATATATATATATATATATATATATATATATATATATATATATATATATATATATATATATATGAATGATTGGGATATACTAAACACTACTTGCCATCACATATTATGCCTGAACCACAAAATGGAATAAAACTCTCCTCAATACCTAAGATCTTCGGGTACTTACATGCCAAATACTGTCGAGTGTTCAAAACTTTTCACCCCAACTGTACACGAATAATAAGAAAGTTTGGTGCCCAGTGGTTTATAAGAACATTTAAGCATTAAGAATGAGCAGATAGCAGCAAATAGAGAGACTGTGTTGCTCATGATTCTAGCCACCCTTCTATACTGTATAGCATAGGAGGGGCTGCAAGAGTAGGTGAAACATTAACAGACATTTATGACAAAAAAGAATTGAGGCATAGCAGATTGTGTAACCTGTGAAAGATAGACCACTGTCAAACATTCCTTGGGCAGAACCAGCCAGTGCCCATAAGAAGAGGTGCAATGCTTGACAGGGGAATATACCATCCATACAGACAATGTTTTGCTGCAAGCAAAGATGTAATAGAGCCAATCTCCACTTAGTAATTTTTTGGATTCAAATCTGGATATGGTAGCTGTTACAGGGACCAATGAGAAAGCCAGGTCATAAGTCCTCAGACTTTCAAGTACAATACAGTACGGTTACAGTACTTAGCACTGGCAAGCTCTGCCCAGATGGTGGATGACAGTGGGTGGTTTTTCCCAGTTAACTCACTGATGAGGCTCTGCAGGCCAAAAAAAAAAAATTTTAAGTTTGAGGATACAATTAAGCTTAAATAACATAAAACAATTATCTGGGGGTATTAAGAGGGAAAATATAAGTACCAGAATAATTTACATCATATATGAATAAGTTTATCTCTGTCAACATCCTACATAGAAAATAAAAAATGTATACCCAACATTAGTATGAAGCAATGGCAAGAAAGTCCCTTTATTTACTGAAATTTGTCATGATTTGCAATTCCTCTCAGACAAATTTTTTCCTGCTGGTGGGTATTAATCATGCAAGAATAAAACAAGCATGACTATCACTGAGTTGCTTGTAATAGTTATTTGGTCTTGTATACATGAAGGTCCCGTAGTGTATGTACCGTGCATAATATTGTTATGATAAGGTTAAACTCATACCCATATGTCTTAAATACTTTCTCTTCCCTTTCTCTCCTACCATTCACCTACAACTTATTCACTATTTCACTCCCCATTCTCTCAATATCCCCAAACCACCTGAGCAAATCCTGGTCAACTGTGTGGCACTTCATTCATTTACACATTTATTAATTTCTACATGTCTTCCTTTCTGCATCCAATTCACCCTAATAAGTATTGCTCTTATGCATGTCATTTATGTAATTTTTAATTTAGTACCTCATTTAGCATCCACACTCATAAAATAACATCAGCTCAAAACAATATTACCCATACATTGTTATCTTTGTTTCCTTATCACATAATTATATATTCATTTACTGTATAGATAGGTTTAGCTGAACTACCACCTGATGAAATGAAATTCAATTAACGAGCATAGTGTTATAGGGTTTGAAAATATAATGTACAAACTTATTTTTTTATTAACAGGCAAAATTCCGAGTGAATCAACTTGCATTTTCACCCATGGAGTTGGGCTAGCCATCCTTGTCATTAGTTTCCAACGAAAAAGAATTCATCTAACTAGCACTTTTTCAGGAATACTTATCACTATTTATGCAGAACCTGCCTGTGTTATTCAATGCTTGCTGACACATCTACTCTCAGATGTCTGAAACACCTCACTTCTTCCATTCAAGCTTACATTTATTCTTTATCTTCCTCCTCTACTTATTTTCATCACTTTACTTTTCTTCACATTTACTATTAACTTTCTCTCAGTACACACTCTTCCTACTCAGTCGCTCACATTTATTACTGTAGTTTTTCCTCAATTACTCACAACAGTAATGTGATACAAACAGAAGCTGCCTCACCTCCAAGTTGCATCATATACTCCCTTTAAATAAACTTTCTCACCCTTTGCCATTACTCTTTTTTTACCTTTCCCACTACCTCATGAAATTATTAAATTTTTGAAGACTCTGCAAAGCATTCTACAACTTCATATTTCTTACATACTGTACATTGAATACTTCCCACTTTATATATCAAACAAATCTATTATATAATTTTTCCATATCCATGAATGTCACAAAAAAATTTTCACACATAATTCTTAACATAATCCACAATTTTTTTCCTCGTCTGACCCACACTGATCTTCCTCTAATATTTTCTTTGGTTTTAAAACAATTCTCAGTACAGTAATAACAACCATACGCTTTTCCCGATATACAGTACTTAACAGATTTATTTTCCTTAAAATTGTGCATTAATTCTTATCCCCTTACCCTTTATACAAGGTAGTTAAACATACTCTCTGGCATTCTTTTGGTAATTTTCCTGGCATATATATATATATATATATATATATATATATATATATATATATATATATATATATATATATATATATATATATATATATATATATATATATATATATATATATATATATATATATATATATATATATATATATATATATATATATATATATATATATATATATATATATACATACACACACACACACTTAATTTTTAATTTTTGTCTGTACGGCCAAAATGGAAAACCCCCACATAAAATCCAGGATCCACCTCTGGTATCTCACTTAATTTCTTCACTTGCACCACCAGCCTCTCCTCCTACCATTCCCTATTATTTTTTTTTTTTACTTCCAAATCTCTTGTACCCATACAACTCCGAGGCACTTTCTTGGACAACCGTCTAAAACTGCTCCTATGCCTCTTCAACCAAATTTACAAGAGACCTCTTTCCCCCTGTCATTCATCAACACCTTTTAGTCACATTCTCTCTCTTCTGTTCTTTATTGTTAATAACTTTCACACATGAAACATATCTAATAAAATGATGCAAAGCTCTGGTGCAAGACTGTACTGAACTTGATAAGACACAGATGCTGGTGAAAAAAACAGAATTTATCACACTGCTACCATACATACTCTTATATTCATCTTACTTGTTAGTACAGTATCAAAGAGATTCATTGCTCTGAAGGATCTGAAATTTGAGGACAGTGTAAATGTAACTGGAAAATACACGTTTCACCGTGACCTCTCGTATTCAGCAATCTTGTAATTATTAACATCCTTTGTTCATTGAGTGTGATACCACCCCGTGTACAGTACAGTACAATGAATTATACTTGAAAGAAAGATATCTTAAACCCTTAGTACAGTAGAACGTTGATGTAACGCGAATCGATTTAAGATTATTGATTTAAAGCGACACCCACAATTAAGGACAATGTTTCAATTTAGAGCAAATCTTTCCTATTTTGCACAAGTCAATCAAGGCGCATCAAATTTTAAATTTCGCGCATAATGTTTTCCACCAGACGCGTCTCTGGCCATGCTACACAGCTGCCTGCCACCCTCACGCATCCTCAGTTCTTGCGCTGACGCTCTAGTGAACGGACATACTGTGTGACACTATCTCTTCTGAGGTAGAAGAGATAGTGTCACATGGAGTCAATTAAGAATTGAATTGAAATTGATTAAAAAAATCTGTGAATTGGAATTGAAAAATACAAAATTAAAATTACTGTAATAGAATTGAATTGGAATTGATATCAAATGATGTGAATTGATGTAATGAATTGATGTGAATTGATAAAATAATATATTATACTGTAATATGTGTCTTCATTATTTTGCAATAATTAACTTTATATTCAAATAAAAACTAAAATATACAGTTAGCTAGCAAAATTTTTTTTTTAAATATATCATGTGATGTACAGTGAACCCTCACTTTACGCGGTCAATTGAACCCACGGCGGGCCGCGTAAAGTGAACAATATAACATGGGATTAATTGAAATAGAGACCGGGCCGACCCCCAAACTCCACTTTTTCAGACACAATACCTACGTTGTAGTAAAAATAACTTCTTAATTTTATGATGGTATGCACACACAATTAATAATTAAGAGAAATATCAATAATATTAGGTTTTTTAACACTTACATTAGTAGAAAAGATGGCTGGGCACACGGGGATGGGGGGTTGGTTCCGAGGCAGAGGGCAGATTATTGGCCCTCACCTGTATCACTTGTATCACTAGCCACCACAGAGGCTTGCAGGGCCTCTTTGTCAAACCCCTCAAAGTCCATATAAGTCCATATCCTCACTATCATTATCACTATCACTGACTTGGGCCAGCTGTGGTGGGTGGCGGGTGAAGAACTCGGTAATGTTTTGATGACTGGGCGACCTTGTGCGCACCCTGCTCGCGCCGCTCTCCGCGTAAAATGGTACACACACCGCGGAAAGTGAGCATTCTGTGTTCGGCAGGGTACCACGTAAACGTGGAAACGCGTAAAGTGGGACCGCGTAAAGCGAGGGTTGACTGTATTAATTTTCATTGAACTGAGAAACTATTTCCTGCATATTTCATGTGTTTCTAATAAATATATTTCAGATATATTTAAGATTCACAAGTTCAGCTCCTGTCAGTGGGCCTCACTGAGATGGTGTGGGTAAAACACATGTGTTCAGTACACGTCCTGGCCTGATCTGCCCCTATGTCTGTGATTGGCAGTATTAGCTTACCACTCTGCCCTCCTCCTCCTGTCCATATTGAAGTGACTGGGACATACCACATATTAGTATTGAACTGTCAGCACTCAGACTCAGCAGTGTGTTAGTCAATGTCACTTGTGACAGGTGACTTATATCTCTGTTTCAAAAGCAGATGTCTTATGTGGGCAAAATGTCACCCAAATCAAATGTGTATGGTCATTTCATCATGCCTTCTTCTAGTGAGAGTAAACCAAGAAACCTTAAAGCTGTTTGCCATCACTGTATCCAGACTGTTGCTGGATCTAACAAAGCAACATCAAACTTCAGGAGGCATCTAGAGGTGGGCATTGTATAAATTATAATATTAATTTTGAATTTTAGATACAGTTAAAATAGGAAGGTTTAACTTATTCAAAAGAGGGACAAAATATTATGTTGTTGATTAGATATAACTTGGAACATCTTATGTTAATGGCTTACATGTATTTCACATAACCAACAATAAACAAATAATGTAATCTAAAAGAGCAATACCCAAAAAATTAATTCTTCAGGTGTAGTGTAGAATCCTGCCAGTTCACAAAAGACATACCATTGCCATGGAATATATCATGGGCATGCCATGGAATTGAGATATAAAAGTTAATGGTTATAGAATTCTGTCAGTGTATGTGTTCTTATGGAAAATCTCTATGAATTCTAAACCTGAAGAACATTGGTGATAAGCTTGTTCATGGTAATGCATGCTTAATTATATGTATTTTGCGTTTTTCTTTTCAGAAGAACCATCCAGATATCTATGCAAAGCTCGACGATCCAGTAGCTGATCCAAAACAACTCTCCGTGAATAAGTTCACAAGAAACAGTACCGGTACCAAGTGGAAATCCACCGACTTACGACAGATGGAACTTACTAACTGTATCGTGGCATTTATTGTTCATGATCTCCTTTCCCTGTCTCTGGTTGAAAGTGAGCGATTCTGCATACTCATGGCAACTGCAGAGCCGATATTCACAATGCCCAGTCGTAAGCATCTGAGTAGTGTGCTTCTACCACAGCATTCAACCACTGTTCAGACAAGGTTGAAGATCCAGTTACAACAAGTCCAGAATCTATGTCTCACCATCGATACGAGGTCATTTATAGGTGTGACTGGTCACTTCATCCTTGACCACACCATAAATAGCGTTATGTAGGCATGTCGTCTTTTTAAAGGCTCCCATACTTCAGACAATATCTACGACTTGTATAAGAAACGGTGGCCTCCTATGATGTTGGAAGTAAAGTAACTACCATAGTTGCTGATAATGCAGCAAATATGGTGAAGGCATTCACCCTATTTCTAGTGGAACAACTTGATGAAGATGAAGAGGATGATGAGTTTGATGAAAATGACTACGATATCCTACCACCTGATGACACTACAAAGTTTGAATGCCTACCCCCAAACCGCACTCCATGCTTCGCTCATATTTTGCAGCTAGTGCTGAAAGATAGCATGGAGCAAGATGGCCAGATCAAGCAAATTCTTGCAGAAGTATCAAAGCTCATCAGCTTCTGCAGGAAATCAATAGTGGCTGCAGAAGTGCTCTCAAATGAATTCAAGCTCCAGATGGCAACATGTATGCTGGAATAGCCAGTTGACGATGATGAGGTCAGTACTTCAAGTTTCACCTGAAGTGTGGGACAAACTTGACACTCCCCACAAGCTGAACACTATCAAGGAGCTCTGTGATATAATCAAACCATTTGAGTATGTGACTAATCAGATTCAGGGACAAAACATGGTGACATCTAGTCTGACAGTTAACTGTGTTTGTGGTCTTCGGGCTGATTTAGCTAGTCTTCATGAAATGTATAAAAGCAAGCTTGTTTCTGTACATCAGTCCTCATCAGAGACTCATCTGAATAAGTTTGAATCTATGGAGGATTTCCAGCTAGCTGCCACCTTAGACCCATGTTACAAGTTGGACTGGTGTCATGACTATGACAATGAAGTACAAGACATTTGTGACCTTCTGACTGTGAAACACAATATGGCATGCAGTGTTGATCCTACAACAACAGACACTTCCCCTGCTGAACCCTGGCCAACCGGTCTTCTACACCAAGACCAACTCCATCAGAAACTGAGGTCTCACTCTACCTCAACCAGCCATGTCTACAGGAAGATGGTGACCCCTTGGCTACTGGAAGGCCAAGCAACCCGAGTTTCCTGAACTCACCAGGCTTGCAGCTCACTTGGCCATTCCTGCTACATCAGCTCTTGTAGAACGACTGTTCTCAATTGATGGCAAGCTCTTTAGGCCAGAGAGGTGCAAATTAAGCAATAAAAGATTTGAGCAACTTATGATGATCAGATGTAATCCTCAGTAACTTGGACTCATTCATGTTTTGTTTACTAATAAACCATTAAACCATTTGAACTTTTGGTTGGTAAAGAATGTGATTGGTTTGTGTTGTAGAGCATTTTTGATAAAAAAATAAAGAAATTAATTTGAATCCTCAAATTTTTATTTCTTTCCATTAGATTAATGGTAGATTAGAATTGATTTTGAATTGAAAAGCATTTGAATTGAATTGAATGAAATATCGATCATAATGAATCAAATTGGAATTGAAAAGCTTGTGAATTGAATTGAAGATTTCTTTTTTACAAATGAATTGAATTGAATTGGAATTGATTAATTCAAATCTTATTCTGAATTGGAATTGAATTGACCCCATCTCTGTAAAAGTTCTACCACGTGTATCAACCATCGCCATTATGTCCAAGAGGCCAGCTACTACATCATTAACTACCCCACAGGCCAAGAAATCAAGGCAAGCAATTACACTGGAGCAGAAAATCAAGGTGTTGGAAGCACTGCAGCGAGGAAATGGTGCTTCAAGTGTGGGGCGCCAATTTGGACAGTGATGTGGACAATGAGCTGGTCGAGTTGGGCTCTGCATCTTCAGAGGATGAATTGCAAAGTAAAGTTGAGTGAAAATCTATTTTTGATAGCATAAAGTAATTAAAAACTAAGCTGAGAGGAAAGTGAAAGTACTTGGTGAGTCAGACGAGAGGCAGGAGGTGTGCGGCGCCAGCGTGACCACCCTCTGACATCAGCTGATCGCAAGTAAACAGACCATTTCATATCCCTTAATTTTAGCTGTGTTGATTTATGAGCGTTTGTTTTAATATAATACTGAAAAACAATGTTTTGTTTATTCTAGGAGATGGGCTGGGGTGCATCTGGGTAGACTCTCAGTCTTTTTAAGATTTTGTGTTTTTCTCAAGTAAACTAAATTATTCCATTGAAACAACACTTCGATTTAGTGCGAATTTGGTTTAAAGCGACCTTTCTTGGAATGTATCACGTGTTAAATCGACGTTCTACTGTATTATGACTGAACCCCTTGAGTACAATAATTTAAACCCTAGAGTAGTATATATTAAACCTTTGAAAATGATGAAATTTTTACTCAGTTATAATTCCAAAGGAGTTCATACTACAGCACTGCCTTTCCTTACTCTCAGGTCTTACCACTTGAATTAACTAAAGATTCCTAGGAGTCAATTTATTTTATTTAACAATTGAATGTTGGATTTAAGGAGATATTGCATTACATTATTACACAGGGGCCATATAAAGTATCATATACAGTACCAGGTAATTTGTTGATATGAAATAAAAAAATTTTAAAACCCTCTACTCCAGGGGTTCTCAACCAGGGGGGAATTTCCCCCCTCAGGTTTTCAGGGGGGGGGAAACTGATACTAATATGGAAAAAATAAAGGATTTTCAGTATTATACGCATATTATTTGGAATGCACTTTTTGAGGCAGACAATCTTGGAAAGGAGGGGGGAATGACATTCTGACATATGGTGAAAGGGGTGCATGGGGCAAACAAGGTTGAGAACCACTGCTCTACTCCCATTCATTCATGAAATGGCACTATTCCCACTCCATTAACTGGCCTTGTACAGTATTTTACAATCCCACTTTAATTGGTATATAATATTTCCTTATCCTAATTACTTATATGCAAAAAAATCTGCTTAATCATCCGAGTTTCTTTGCGTGACAACCTTCTACCTCTGACTGAACACAACAGTTGCATCTTCTTGCCTTCAAATCATTCTTTATCCATGTAACTCATTACACACATTTGACTGACTCCCCATCCTCTTGAACTTCACCCTCTTTCCTGTCTAGATACCTACATTCAATACACTACTATACCTCAATTTATTCAGCACACAAATTGTATCTAGAAGATGCCATTTCTTACCTGGGTATCCTGCGCCTGGGTAGGGTTGTGGTGGGTATGCCTGTTGTTGGGGGTAGCCTGGTTGTGGGGGGTAACCTGGTTGTGGGGGGTAACCTGGTTGTGGGGGGTAACCTGGTTGTGGGGGGTAACCTGGTTGTGGAGGATATTCTGGTTGTTGTTGATATGTTTGAGGCTTGTCCTGGAGTGGTTGCATCACGACAGCATCAGGTTTAGCTGTGACAAACTTTTTATTAGCACATTAGCATCATTATAATATGAGATTCTGCAAAATAAGTGTGATGTGAAATAGCACATGGGAGTTGAGAAGAAAAAAGCTGAGAGGGACTAGGATACTAAATAAAAAAATTGCATTCTATCAATAAAATAAAAAACCTTGACCCCAGCAAAATTGGCAATGTTTCCATTTAATAGCAGCTAAGGGTGATACAGATGTCAGTAGTCATATAAAATGAGACTTGAGACACTGTTGTAATAGGGGGCAGTGAAATTTTGCTCAAAGCTGCACTCTTCAGGCATTGTTCCTTATACATATCTAAGACTCCATGCCAAATTTGAAGCTGATATGTCGAGGTTTAGTCTGCCGCATTTTCTACTGAAATTTTTAAATTTACCTACAGTACTAGCCAAACAGCCGCTGTGGCGGTGCAATGTTCTGTTCAGTGTTTATCAACTTTTTTTTCATATCTCTTATTTCATTTAAGTTGTCTTGTTGCAGATGAGTATGGTGCTATGTAAATGTAGGATCAGAAAATGGAGTCACTCATCATCTTGAAATGTTACTTGGTCACCCGCTCCATTATTTCATATGTCAGCTTCACGGAAATGAGCGGCCTTTCCACGCAGTTTTTTATCACTATGATGGTAAACCAAGTGGTCCTGAGTATTGGCGTGGTCCCATTGGAAAGCAGATCAAGGAGTCTTTGTCTGAGCTTCCAGTTGTCGCCTTCCAGCCAGTCAGTTTCCCTGATTTCCCTGTGTTTAATGATGAAGTGGAGAAAGATCTGTCCTGGGATCAGAAATACCTGTATAGGATTTGTAAAGGAGTTATCACAGGTGTTGTTGAAGATGACTTGGCTGCTATTGAGCCAGGTCCTCCCTGTGTGTCAAGGTGGAACACCTTATGGAGTAGAATCCTCAGGCTGTATGTAGCAACATCAAGACCCAGCCATGAGTTGAAAAGAATTGTCATTACAATAATAAAGTTCAGTGCTCCAATGTGGTTTTACATCAAGATACACCCTTACGTAACACACGGCTCAAGGAACGTATTCCAGTCCCTGCTATATATGAAACACCTGAATAGTGAGGAGGAGACGATAGTGAAGAAGGCTGTCCAGAGAAATGCATACTTCGCCCACACAGATCAACTTCTTCTTGGTATGTGTGCAGATGAGGACATGACTGTTAGAGAAAAAGCTGTCTCAATGATAAGAAAAATTAGAGAGGAGAATCAGCAAAAGGAAGAATGCACTGGCAGATCTGAAGAGGAGGAGGAAGATTCTGATGCTGCTGTTGACGAGAATTTGTTAAACTATACTGATGAGGAGGGTAAAGATGGAGATGGGAATGAGGATGTGCCTCCTGTAGTCAACATGAGAAAGGTGGTGACTCCGAAACTAAAGTGGCAAGCAAAAAACTATCATTCCATGATTAACTGGAGGAATGAACTCAAGACTGAGCCTCCTTACATTGCTTCTCTGTCAAATCTACAGGTTAATGACATTCTTGAGACACCATTAGTGGTGCCCAAGTGGCCAAACAGCACTCAGGCGGTCGAGAGAGGCATAAAAGTGATGACTGAAGCTTGCACTGAAGTGACGGGATACGAATCGAGAGATGGATATATTAGGCAAAGATTATTGTCTAGGAAAATGATGCCAAGGTTCCGCACAAAAAAGAATTTCAATATGAACTTGTAATGATTTTCTATACGGTGTACCTGTAAAATAACATGTGAATTAAATCGATGTCACCCATGTAAAATTTATCATTATCCTGGAAAACATTAAATGACACCTAATTTTTGGTATACACTAAAAGTTGACAAAAAATCGTTCGCGATGCGGCAGGGTAAGTATGCATGAAATGGCATGAAATTTTGCACAGGTGTTTGTTACAGCCATACAAACGATGCCTGAAAAGGGCAGCCTGCAACTCAAATAAAAGTGTTTTTTCCCTACCCCCTACTGTTGTAACATGTGTCTAGTGTTAAGACTTAACTCACGTTGATGGACTGTTCCTTGGTTACGATGCTTGTAGAGGAGGCAGAATGGGCAACAGCAACAACACACAATGCAGAGCAAAACCATCCCTAAAATCAGTGCCACAATGACCCCAATAATCACTGGAAGCCTGAAAAAAGGAAAAAGAACATATTAACTTCACATCTAATGTCATACTGAAGCCATGTGAACATTTACAAGAGATGGAGATGATGTGTTGGTAAGGGTGAGAATGTAGATGTAAGTATTGACCATTGTAGAGGAGTGAAATTGAGTGCAACCCAGTAGTCCCAGTATTTCACACTTCAGAATTCCCCAATTTTGGGATATTCCACAATGACGATGATACAAAAATTTACAATTCTATACAGTAAACTATTTGTGCCAGCCCTGCTTATTACTAGGAGGATTATCCTGATGGAAGGGTTTCTTTTTATATTCCTGTATATTCACAAACAATACATCCAAAGCCCCACACAATCTTAATTGTGCACTTGTAATTATAACACTAATGACACATTGCCATGCCACCCAAAATAAATTTTGTGCAGTGTATAACACTTAAATTCTTTTAAGAATAACATGAAATAACAACAAACTTATGAATGCATAAGTGAATTATATGGTCGTTTAATAATAAGTACAGTATAGCCTGGGTTTACACGGATATTTTATATGAGATTTGCCATTTATGCAGCACCTCTCCAGACGCGGCAATTATTATTTACGCGGTAAATGCCATCATATACGCGGCAAGTAGCGGGCAAGGTGCTGGGCGCTGACTTCACCATTGACGTCAGACTCGTGCCGATGACGTCGCGGACTGTGATTGGGCCACGTATCCTTACCACCCACGCACCCCCTCCGTTGCGCGCTGTGATTGGTCTATCTAACCTTGCTTGCCCTACCACCAGGGCTGATGACCTTGGCCCCGCCAGTCTCACTGTCCCTGCGTATACTCACTCGTGCCCAGGAACCAGTTTTGTTTTTTCTTTCTCCATAATGGCTTCTGCTGGACCCCCACCACCCCTGAACTACCTAGCCCAAGGTGGGAGGCAGAGGCAAGCGGTGGCTGGTGAGGCTAAGTCTGTTGCTGTGGCATTGGAGAATGCAAGAGAGGCTGCACAAAGTGTTAGAGCTGCAGGCTTCTCCGAGACCACCAACGAAGACATCCTGGAGGTAATCAGGCAACCTGAGGTGACTGCGGACGAGATGTTGGAAGATGATGACGTCAGTGAGCAGCGAGGTGTTACAGAACAACAAGAGCAGAAACTAAAACATGCTGATGTGAAGGTCATCGAGTTAGCCAAGAGAATGAAGTTCATCCTTGACAAAGAGACAGGTAATCATCGCTACGAAGTGTCGAATAACCATCTGTTGAAATGCCTGGATCCCTATGTTCAGCAGTATCACGACCACATCGATGCTACCCGTCAACAAAGCATCACAGAGTTCTTCACCCGCCAACCACCACAGCCAGCCCAAGTCAGTGCTAGTGAGGATATGGACTTCGAGGGGTTTGACGAGGAGGGCCTGCTAGCCTCTGTGGTGGATAGAGCTACAGGTGATACAGGTGAGGGCCAATAATCTGCCCTCTGCCTCGGAACCAACCCCCCCATCCCTGTGTGTCCAGCCATCTTTTCTACTAACGTAAGTGTTAAAAACCTAACATTATTGATATTTCTCTTAAATATTAATTGTGTGTGCATACCATCATAAAATTAAGATGTTATTTTTACTACAATGTACGTATTGTGTCGGCGATAGCCAAAAAAAGGGTAGTCTGGCAGTCGGCCCAGTCTCTATTTCAATTAATCCCATGTTCTGTTATTTTATTTACGCGTTTCGCTTTATACGCGGACCTCCATGGGTTTAGTTAACCGCGTAAACCTAGACTATACTGTGTCTCTAAAATGATACTTTCACCATTTCATGATACAAGATATGTTTGGTGAAGCACTGGTGGGCCTTTTAGCACTTTTCATGCATAATTTGGGGTAATTTCTAAAGAAATAATTGTGTATATATGCAAACAACTCCTGCTACATGCATCTCTACCATGGTATGTGTCTCAGTTCTAGTTGACATTTCACAAAACACAACCATAAAATAAAAATAAAATTTCCGACAGTCTACAGACAGTCTCACTGTATCCTCCACTTATCACAATTTAGGTAAATTCACTTACATTGTCAATTTTTTTAAATTTTTTTAAAGTGTTACTGTAGTTTTCTATTAAAATTTCTCTTTGCTTGATTCTTTTGTGTTACTCTAGTGCATTGTTTATTTAGGCATTTATTAAAGGTAGGTTAGTAGTGGTCATTAACTCCCTCACAGATTTTATTGGTTCTGTCTGCTGGTTATACTGGTACAGTACAGTATTGAGAAACTAAATAAGGTTTCATACAGGGTGTTTACCTTATCCAAGACCACATGTATGTGTGTGACACACTATAAAGGTGAACAATTGGCTATACAGAGAATTAACGGATTTTCCAATTTACAGTTATGCACAGTACAGTAAGTTTATCATGACCTGGCTTATCACAGTATTTACAGGATCTTAACCTCACAACCCATCTGGTCTTTAATACATTACAATAATGTACTGTACTTACATAAAGACTGACTGGGGTGGACTATACCGGTAATCCCAGTTTCACAAAATTCACTTTACAGTTATGCAGCAGATTTGGTTCTGAGAGTTGTGAAATACTTAGGACACAATTTATAAGGGCACACTGTATTGGATGTGTGAAGACATATATTGGTACTGTATATAAGAAAAAAGCTAAAAAAAATGTAAGAAAATATCTTAATGATCTCAATAAAACTCAATGTTAGAAACCATAAATTAGAATAATGATACTTACAAAGAACAAATGCATTTTAACCGTGCAATAATGCAATTCACTGATCTCACATTTTGGCATGCTGGTTGGTGCAAATTAAAAAAACAAAACACAAACTGATTTAAAACAAAATAAATTACAGTAGTCTAAAACCCAAAACTAAATTTGGGAAGAGTCTACCATATACCTGATGTTCCTAACCTTTTAATAGCTATACACATCTAATTCTAAAAAAATCATAAAGCTTGGAGAGAAAAAAAAATGATTAACTGCATTTAGTCTCTCTGGATTAACAAAACAAAAACCTTAATGATATATATATATATATATAATATATATATATATATATATATATATATATATATATATATATATATATATATATATATATATATATATATATATATATATATATATATATATATATATATACTGTATATATATATATATATATATATATATATATATATATATATATATATATGCAAGTAAACTCCACTGTAGGTAATTCACCTCAGGGTGAGTACTCACCGCTGAAGATGTGAATTACACCTAAAGCGCTTGGGAACTTGTTTCTTCTTTCCCTTGTGGTTATCAGCATATATATATATATATATATATATATATATATATATATATATATATATATATATATATATATATATATATATATATATATATATATATATATATATATATATATATATATATATATATTAAACAAACAATTTATCACACCAGTTATGCACAATCCTTGGCCCTTAACACTGATAATTACACTATATACAGTACTGTACTGTACTGGACAAAACTCAAAGCCTAATTCTATGAAGAAAATTACAACTGTAAAAAATAAAACAAAATACACTGTACTGCACAGAATTGAGATCTGGAAGTAAAACATACAGTATTCCCAATGTACCGCATTATCCAAGTACATGTACAGTGCTGTATTGTAAAGTGCTATGGGTCTTTGAGACAACAATTTAGTACAGGTAATTAACATGTGACCTAGGTCATGCTTCACATAGGATAATATCATAAGGCCATTCGGGCACTTACCAGTAGAGTATGTATGGGTACCAAATAAGTTGACCATGTCCTACCAATTCAGTGTTCAGTCATGAGCATTCCTATACAGTACTGAACCTTTTATTATTATCAAAACACATGTTAACTGAAATTTAAGTTCAACCAAGAAAAACCACTGAACAATAAAATTTTTCATAAATTACATGAAATAATGTACTGTAATACTGTACACTACAGTGTTTTTATTATGGACATACCGGTATATATACTGTATACCAGGCTCTGTATGTGTTCCTTGTATTAAAGATAGAAGGATTTGATAGTGATGTACAGTATC